TAAAAAGTTAATTTAAATCATTTTTTATTTAATATAAAAAAATTATAAAGATTGATTAAAATTTGAATGATTTTTATCAGAAGCAATTATTGATTTTTATATTAAGATATAAATCTTTTTTGTACCAATCCATAATAATTAATTTTATTACATAATTAATAATACTAATTAATGAAATATCAAAAAGAATTATAAAATATATATTATAAAATAAGAAAGTTAACATCAAGATTATTTAAGTTTAATTCTGAATTTAATATATTAACTACTTTACTTTCTTATTATAATATACTAAGTTTATCATTTTCAAATCTATTATTTAGTATTGTATTTCCAGTCTTCAATATTTTAATGCAAGATTTAGCTATATCTTCAACCAAAACTGTTGCTTGGACTTTATCATCGTTTTCTAACTGTAATAATTTTTAATCTTTTTGTCGAATTCCGAGTTGAATTTGTGCTTGGCTTTTTCGGAACCTTTACAATAAAAACATTGTTGAGTTTTATCCCATTTGTTTACACAGTTGGAACAGACTCTCTTTTGGCAGATCGGGCAATATTTCTCAAATTTATTATGAACTAGATAAAAGTTACTATTGCCAAATTCTGTTTTGATATTATATATGGATGCCTTTGCAAATAGCTATATATATGAGATTTATTTTGACAAATGTTTTTGAATTTTTTTGTTTGATTGATTTACCTCTTAAATAATCACGTGGTCGACACTTTTTTCGCTATAGCTGGGAAACTACGAAAAATAAGAAAACCCAATGCCTAAATCTGTCTTGGAGTACTAATTAAAAATGTTGGGATGGAAATTTTACATGTAATTTTGTTCTCTAACTCTAACCCATTACCCTCACCCTGACCTTATATGCGCTGAAAATTTAAGGGGATTGATCACATGATGGGACTGCGCTTTAACCGTTCTCCCCGGAAATTTTCAGAATGTGACATATATAAACTTTTAAAAAACATTGATATTAATTATGTTAAAGAATGACCTCACAACTCCCAACTTTGCTCAACACAAATTATTTAACCTCGGGACACAGTCGAGGATTTTTCGAGTTTGTCTCAAGGGTGGCAGATGCCAAAAATAATCAGGTTGATGGAAAATTTCGTTGGGGCGTCTTTTTGTAATATTTGTGAGAAATACTTCTTTTAATGTGAGTCTTTCTTCATAAAGGAAGAAGAGCGATATGTTACCGAAGAGCTTTACGCTTTAAAGCAAAAATTAGCACAGCCTGATATTAGTTTGGTAGCTTACTGATTCAATGATATTTTGTATTTTGATTTAATTTTATAAGATTAATAATACGTCGAATAACTAATCATTATAACTGTATCAAAAAATAAAAATAAAAGTCAAAAATGAAGGATTACATTAATCGATTGATTTTCTGCGAAATTCTTGGTCATGATGTCAATTTTGGACATATTTACGCGTTGAAATTGGCTCAAAGCGCGAAAACTCTTTCAGAAAAACGTGTTGGTTGGTGAGAGAGAAAATATAAATAATTTCGGTGCTTCTGAAAGGATAATATCGCTATATAATTATTAATTCTACAAAATTAATATTTGTATACTATAAGGATACCTCGCGTGCTCTTTATTCATGACACAAAAGCACGAATTGAGTATTATGTTGATTAACACCATACAAAAGGTGAGAAAAGAAAAAAAGTACTATTTATAATAATGTAATTTTTTTAATTGTATTTAGATTTTTATATTTATCGTTTGAAATTTCTAATTGAAAAAGGACTTGAATAGTAGAAATTATCATGATGTTTGTGCAGCATTAGGAGTCATGAGTCATGTGGTAGATTCGGAAATGATTCCAGCCATATTAAAACCATTACAAGAGAAATTGACACATCACATGTAATTTATCTGTTGTCAAATATTTTTTAAATATTCTATTAATTAATATTGAGAGTGATACTCTTATTATAGGGAAGTCGTACGCAAAAAAACGCTTATAGTTTTTCACCATTTTTATCAATCATCGCCTGATTTAATCCTTCATCTTGAACCACAATTTCGTGATATCTTAAAATCTCATGATCCTGCTGTATTGGGCGCTGTATTATGCTTGTATGTCGATTTTGTAAGGGTAGGGGTGTGTGTGTTTTTATATAATCCTTTAGCACTTCCAGTAAAATTGAAAGTTAGGATTAATTTCATTTCATTTTTTTTTTGATGAAAGGATAATCCGAGTCAGTTTAGAGATTTAGTTCCTATATTCATCAACATTTTAGAACAAGTTCTTGATCGCTGGCTTGTTCGAACTTATGATTATCATGGAATACCTGCGCCATGGATTCAAATTCAATTAGTAGAGATTTTGGGATTATTTGGTCGAGATGACGAGATGTATATTTACTTTCTTTTCTTACCTTCAATGAAATGTTTATTTTACATACAACTAATTTCTCTAATTATAGGATAAGTGAGATGGTGTGTCCAATCATTATTCAAGCTCTACGAAGGTCAGAGCAAGGTGTTGATGCTGCTTATGGTTTGTCTATATTTTCTGTTTCTATTTATTAATATTAATTCTTCACTGAAAAGAGAATCAGTTTGAATAAACTCTATCAATTTAATTTATTATCAGCTGTTATATTCGAATGCATTCGTGCGCTCTCACGACTTTCTACACCCACTTTCTCCAAAATAGTAAATCAGTCATCATCAATCACTGATGATAATCCACTAAACGTAATCACTCGTTTTCTTAAATCTAAAAATCTTAATTTAAAGTATATCGGGTTATTGGCAATTTCGGAAATAGATCCTAAATGGTGGGTGGAAGGTGATTGGTGGGGTGAAGAGCAGATGACTGTAATTGTCGAGTGTCTGGACGAAAAAGATGAAACGCTGAAAAGAAAAGTGAGTTAACGAACTAGTTTTTTGTTTTGGTGGAAAATAATTAACTTTGAATTATTTAACTATGATAATAGGCGCTTGATCTTTTATATAAAATGATAAACTCTCAAAATGTAACGGTGGTGGTTGATCGAATTATGGAAGCATTGAAAGCTACTTCATTTAATGACAAGTTCTTGCGAAGACAATTGATAGAACGGATTGTTGGTTGCTGTGAAAAATATCCTTAGAATTCGATTGTTTATACTTAATTTTTTTGAGAATGATAATTTATTATACTTGACCAAGCTCTTTTTTTCCAATAAACATACTCTTCTTCAATTAGAGACTCGAATTGGATGATCAGTACACTAATAAAAACATTTCACGCGGCCGGCGATGTTGTAGATGAGTCATTGGAGGATCGTGTGGTTATGATGATCACACAAAGTAATTATGAATATATTTTATCTACTTTTAATTAAATGGTTGACATAAGAAACGATAATTGTTCAAAAATTTGTTTTCTTCAAAAGAAGGAAGCTATGAAACGGTTGCATGGGAACAAAATTTGCGAAAATGTGCGGTATATGAGTTCTCTAAACTAATTGAAAACAAAGAAATTGTGAAGGAATTACCAAATTCTTTGTTAATTTTGGCAATCAAGGTATAGAATTATATAATTTTCTTTTGATTTTTAACATTGATTGAAGCTTTCTTTATTATACTTTAATAGATATTAGGTGAATTAATAAAGTATACTGATAACCAAGATATCGTAATTAGTAGATTATCCGATTGCCTACTTGAAACAAACGGTAAACTAACTTTATTTTATGTTTATTTACTGAATTTCTAAATATTTATGAATTATTATCTATTTAGTTACAGAAATCCAAATCCAAATTATGAATTCCTTACTTAAATGTATTTCATTGACAAAAAATTGTCCAAAAAATGTTAAAGTTGCTGTAATAAAATGCCGCACACATAACTCATTTGAGATAAAGCAGGTAAAAAAAATATTTTGATAAAGTCAATGCTACTGTGAATAATAATTATTTCTTTATTATAATATCTATGTTTTTAGTGCTGTAATGAATTTATTATATTAACGGACAATCTAGCATTACTTGAAAAAATTGTGATCAGTAACACAGAAAATGACAATTGGAAAAATCCATTTAATGATTCCTTTATTGTGAGCTTTTCATTTCATTATCTTTTTGTTTTTTTTTGTTTGGGATTGTCTTTGTCTCACTTCTATAGCTTTTAGATCGACGATTCTCTCTTGTTTCTTGATGATTATGTTAAAGAATCAATTGAAAACGGAGGTAGATCATATAGTCCTGTCCCAATAATACGTAATAGTTCAGAATCCAGCGCTAAAGGTATCTTAATTATTTCAAAAATATATAAAACGTAGATTTTTTTCTAATTGAATTCTTTTATATGATAAGATAAAAAGGCTCGTTTAACTATTCGATATGAAGCATATGATAA